AATTTATTTATTGCTACAATGAATTTTGTGGCAAATTGCATTCTTAATTGGTATAAAGAAACTGATTTCCGTTTTTTTTTTGTTTTTTTTTTTTCATTTTTCCCCCAAAAAAAAATAAATTATAATTTGTTGCACATTGATTTTATCTTATATAAAATAACAAAATGATAATTTTACTGACCGCATCATATCCAATAAGTGAGGTATTGTAACCGTATTTCGACGGCAACACAGTTCTTTTGTTGCAATGCTCCGCGAGAGAGAGATTTTTTCTAACAAAATGTCTGCAGGTTCGTCAGGCTATTGACAGAGAAATTTCAAATGCAGCTGAACAGATTCTCACAAAAATTTATATCTGAGTTTATTATACGATTTGATAAACTTTTAGGGCATACAACCTTCAGTCATTTCAACTAATTTGACATTTTAAATATATTTAATTAAAATATTCGCTCAAATGATAGAAAATCAGGGGCCATTGACTAGAACTTTACTATAAAAGGCAAAGTAAAAAATTTGCCCATAATGTATACGAGAAAATAGTTAATATGGAAAAGCGAAACTTTTATACACCAAACGAAACTGTTATACAAGTTTTATTTTATAAACTTCGAAGAAAATTAAAGTGTATTAAGAATCAAATTTTTGTTTTTGAAGTTGGACGTTTACTGAGAGAACAATATGGTTACGATTTCATTCAATTACGTACAGACCACATCCTATATATTTTTTAATATACACATGCAAATTGTTCCTTGATCGTCCTTCACCTCATTAATAATGCATTATTATGGTAAAATGCTAATTTGTATATGATAATGTGTACGTAGGCAAGGAAAATGCATTAAATAAGATAATGTACAGGAAAAGGATATTGTATCGGTAATAAATTGGTAAATATATGCAAATTAAGTTCATAAAATATTTTAATAAAGATTATTTATAAAAAAAAAGGATTTCTGGTATACAATATAAAAATTATTTTTTTTATACCGGTACGAACGTATGTTCGAAGGGTATACTAAATTTGCCTTACCGTTTGTAACGCTAAGAAATAATGGTGTTAGATATAGACTCAAGTGTATGTTTTTGATCAGCGTCAAATTCTGAGTTGATTTAGCTTTGTCTGTCCGTCCGTCCGTCCGAACGATAACGCAAAAACTAATTGAGCTAAGTTCACCAAATTTTCACAAATGATTTATTGTAGCAAGTGCCAGAACCCTATTTAAATTTGACGTGATCGGGGTACCGGTTCGGGTAGCTGTCATACAACTTCAAAAGTTATTTGGCTATATCTCAGAAACTATAAAAGCTGTGATATTGAGATTTCACACAAGTGAATATATTAATAGGGCCGATGTGCTTGATAAAATTCGCTAAAATTTCTTGGCTCTTTCTGGTAGCTGCTATACAACTTTAATAGTAGTTTGGCACAACCAGTATTTTGAAAAACACATTGTACTGAAATTTTGCATAAATTAATATGGTAATACGGCAACTTAAAGTCATAGTCTGCCCCATACTTAGTTACGGCACATTAGTTATTCGCACATAGGATAACAAATTCGTACGGGTATCACAGAGTTGACAAGGTCAACTCTACTTTTTTTCTCGTTTAATAATAATTTTGTATTGGTTATGCTTCACTTAATAGCGAAGGAAGTTTTATTTCCAATATCTCATTTATTTTGTATGTGTATATATTAAATTATAAATGTAATAATGTGTGTGTTCATTTTGGTGTTTATTAAAATATATTATTAATGGACCATAAAAATTACATTGAAATAAATGAAAATATTTTTTAAATGAATTTCAAGTTGAAAATTTTTTAAAATTATGAAAACTTGTTGAAAATTTTTTTTTAATATAAAAGTTAATTATCGGATATAGCGAAAAATTAATTTATTGTTTGTTCGCTTAAAATTCCTTTTAATTAAACTTTTAATAAAATGGCTTTCATTTTTTGCATATATATATTAAAAATAAATTAATAACAATGTTTATCAAGGTAATAATTTTATTTGTAGAAGCATAATAATTTCATACTTCTTTATCATACCTTACTACTAGAACTATTAATTCTTTAGGCTTGTATAAATATATTGTGTTTGTAGATTTAAAATATATTTATAATTAAAATCTCCTTATATAATGCAGTTATTAAATTACATAAAATGCATTGAATTTTACACGGTTTTTAATGGTATTTATTAATTATTAATATACGTATAAGGTTGGACTGTGTGGTTATTTAATTATTAAGGAGTGTTTTAAAATAGTTTTAAAGGCTGTAATGGAAGTGACATATTAATTATCGGAATATGCAAATATGTTTTCAGCTCATCATGCTCATTGTGTTCCGTAATTGAAGTACTTTCCTTATAATCCTTTAATGTACTATGTTCTACTATGGTGTAGTAGATAAATTGAATGATTCCCTTTCCTTTGCGACTTCTTTATCATATTGCTCTTAGCCAAGATTTTGTTAAAAATCTCATTATCCAATTCATACAAGTTATAATCAAAATAATTTCTTGTAAAAAGGACCTCAACAAAGTCTTAATTTGCGCCTAAAAATATGCTATAGTTATTATATTGACTTTCCGTTTTTGTTAAGTTTATAAAATTTTGCCTAAAGAAAAACATTTTTTTTGTGGCATTCTGTGAAAATATTTAGAAATTATTTAGAATTCTGTGAAAATATTTAGAAAATATTTGGAAATCTGTGGATATTTAGAAATTAGGCGCCTCACTTCCATCCCTGGGTATAGGTAGTTTTTATATTATGCAGTGGCTTTTTATATTTTTGGATATCACGCTTCTTTTGTCGAAATTTTGAAAACGTATCACTCTAAACGCCCTTTGGCATTTGATTTTGAATAATGGAAAACTCGTTGAAAGAATTTGAGAATCTGAAATTATTAAAAAAATTAAACGATTAAACACGTTTAATATATTTTTTTCCAGATTTTCAGAAACAATGAAATTTTAAAAATATTTCCTCAATTTCATTTTACTGTGTGATTATACTAAAAATATTTTCAGAACAATTTTTCTATGAACCTTAAAGGCATACAAATGTATATAATGAAATTTTATTTTGCAAAGTCAAAATTATTAAACATGAAAAATTACTTAAACATAAAAACAAAATAAAATTTTCCTTTTTCATGTCATAATATCCTTTTAATTATGATTTGGATGAATTTTAGAGAATTTAAATGATAATCATTAGTAAAACACAATATTTCAAATATAATTAAAATTTAATTTATTTCTAAGAAACTGTTTCTTATATTTTAATGTAGCCGGAACAGTAAAATTTTATAAATTGCAATTGAGGATATGCAATATTAATGCTAGTAAATCATCATTTACGTACTTCGTTCACCTTAATAATATTTTGACAAATAAATTTTATAATCATTTTAATAATTAATTAAAATATTTCAAAATTACCATGACAAATAAATTGTTATTATTTCAAGATTGTTGAAAAAAATTTTAATTTCTTTCCTGTACAGAAGTAATTTTTCAATTAATTTCATTGGTTTGTTTTTAGAAATTGTAATTACAATTTAATGCTATGAGTACATTATGTAAGTTTGTACATGTTTGCAAAATCTTATGTAATTAAAATAATCCTTAAATTTTATTTCCTTCTTGTTCTAATTGCCATTTGTATGTAGACGGTATTCACTCACGTAAATAGAAATTCAAAAGTAATTTAAATAAGTCAAAAGTTACAATTTCAATTAATTTTAGTGAATTCTATGGAATGATGTAAAATATTAAGATATTCAAGTACAATAGCTAAAGAAAACGCATATTTTATATATTGTATGTAAGAAGAGGAAAGAAACATTAAAGAAATATAAAGGTAAAAAGTCTAATTTTATTGAATTACGTAACTCAGTTGCATTTAATTCATATTACGGCTACTATTACTATAACTTATCACAAATCTTATCTTAACTTCGGTTTGAGCGCTGGAGAAGTCTTCTGGGGCTGCGGCAAGCCAAGGAGCTCCTGGGAGATTATGACCAGAAGCGATTTAAGAAAATTATAGGGATGGGCAAGAACCAGGTGAGAGTCCTCACTGTCATTTTGACGGGTCACTGCAGGCTTAGAGGACACCTCAGTCGGCTGGGCCTGGAAAATGAGGATACTTGCAGATTCTGTGGGGAGTATGGAGAGACCTCGGTGCGCCTCCTGGGGGAGTGTGATGCTCTTGCTCGTAGAAGGGGGCTTTGCTCCAACGGTGGCGGAGTTACGGTCTTCTGGTCTTCACAAGTTGCTTGGGTTCATTAGGAGGGTGGGCCTCGAGCGTGTTTTGTAGGGCATGCCCCGCACTCGGATAGGGGCGCACAATAGATCCTTATACGTGGTCGCGGTGCACTGTTGCCCCCGTTGTACAAATCTACAAATTTAAAAATCTATCTTAACTTCCTACTATTCCGACTTCAAATACCTTTGATAAGGTGTTAAGAATCACAATTGTTATAATTTTTGAACCACAGTGGAAAAGGTCTGGAGATTTTAATTTCATTTTTATAAATTTTAAATTTCAGTAGCTTTCTTTTTTGCAGAAATACTAGCTGTTATCTAATAAATTTTGATCTAGTAGAAGAATATTTTATTATAATATTTGTGGATTCATGCCAAGCAATATGGACAAGAAATTTTCAAATTCGAATTTCATTATGCAAATTTTAATAAATTTTAGAATTGGGAAGTTTTGAAAATGAAATTGTAGTAATTTGACGAAGTTATTCTATAGGTGCCGGACATTAAATTGGTTGTTTAAATTCACATCGTCCTTTCCCTACGGAGTGTTTTCACTCTCTTTCATAGATTTTAAACTAGTAACATTAAAAATCCCTGTAGGTTTTGAAAAAAAAAATATACAATTTTTTTAAATTTTTCCTCAAAAAATTTTATTGTACGATTAACCTTTTTTAAAATCGCTATTTTAATTTTTATTTGTTTATTTTCAGTTTAACAACAAACGCGAATTCAAACATCAATGGCCATAAATCATAAACAATTAAATGCATTTGGTATTTATCAGACTTTTCAAAAACATTTTTAAAAAATAAAACAAAAACTAACAATACAATAAAAGTTTTTCCATCGTAAATCATAATCACAATTTTGATAGCCGAATAAAGAAAATAGAACAGAAAATAAAAGACAACAAACAATTCTATATAAGCTCCCCATGTTATGTAAGAATTAACAAAAGGAGAATTTATTGCACAACGCATCAAAACAATAAACAGTTGGCAACAAAAAAAAATATTCACCATAACCAGACTCTTCTAATTGTTATAAAACATAAAACAAATTTATGGTAACCATTTTGGAATATTTACAAAGCACCATCTATATATTTACGCCTGAATATATGCAATAAATCGTTATAAATGGATAAACTGTGAGATTAGTAATAGCTACTGGAAATACTAACAAACATTAAATAAATAAATAAAAACAGAAGGATTTTTCAATATTAACAGCATATCCTTTTTCAGGATAATTTTCAGTTGCAACACTAAACCATAATATGGTATGGAGATCTTGTGTTCTATACTTAAATTTTGTTTAATTTTAAAATCTATCAGTAAAAGATAAAAGAGAAAAGGATATAAGAGAAAAAGGTTTAAAATTTTGAAAAATCAAAAAAACCAAAACAGTCAAATTCAAAAGGGTTGCAAGATTTTAATAAATTTTCCTATACTTTTATGTGCAAAACTACAGAAAAAAAAAATCGAACCAAGTTTCAAACAATTTTTCTTTAAAGTACTCAATTTTAATTTTTATAGTATCCTTTTTAACATAAAATAAAAAATAAAACAAATAATTGGTTTTTTACATAACAATAAACAAATTTTCAATAACATTTCACATTTTTTTTACATACACACACATACACATACATACAAAGTATACAAATATCCTCAAATCAAATTAAATGGGCAATCAATAATGGTACTAAAAATAAAAAACAACAGCAAAACAAATAACACAAAGCTTTCTTTAAAGTGATAACAAAAATGATGTCATAGTAAGTGAAAATGGTTTAAGTGCCAATTTAAAAAAAATTTCGAAATATTGAAAATTAATTATAAAATTTTGCATAATGTTAAAGTGTTATAAAATTAAAGAAAAATTCAAATATGAAATCGTATTATGGAAAATGGAAAATCAATTAAACAAGAGAAAATTATCAAAAAAGATGGCTAGCAGGAACGAAATTAATAATTTAGGTAAGTGAATTTAAATATTTTTTTGTTAAAAAGAAAACAACAATATACGAGTAGTTATAGCAATATTAAAGACGCAGCAAACTGTTATAAATTTTCTGAATGTTAATATGAAATAAATCCCAAAAATTATTTGAATTTTAAAAATTCAATTCTGCTGAATGGGATAAGGTTGCATATTTTTTGTTCATATCCAAGTTTTGAATTTCAGTCAAAAAAATTTAAAAATTTTGATATTATACCATACATGGATATGCGCTTTAAAAAATTTTTATATACAAAATTTTGAGTTACAGATGATCGAGATAAATCGGGATAATACTCAATTATAATCGGCGTAAATATTCTGTAAATATATTTATTACTGGAATCTGGACCAGCACATACATATATTTTACTTTAAATGAAATAGTCCAAATCTCTTACAAATACAATCACCAAGAATTGTTCTCTTTCGCATATTTAAGTACAAAGTTGCTATACAATATGTGCTGCACAGCCCCCGTTTCTGATTGCATTCCGAAATCCTTGCAAATATAGTCATCCGTAATGTTATGACTAATTGTAATATTGATTTCGTTCTATTTCAAAAAAAGAAATGCAAAAATTGAGAATAAAAATTCATGTATAAATAAATGAAAGTTTTAAAAAAGGATCATTTGCACTCTAAAAAAAAACAAACCCCAATACCATTGTATGCAATTCAAAATAAATGAAAAAAAAAATTATTACTCGTAAAGTGAGAAAATAAATTTTAATTTTATTATTCTTTTTCCCATTTCATATATTGAGTGACCATTTGAAATTTGATGTAAGCAAATAAAAATTTTTTATTACAAATGCATATTATGTGCATAAAATGGAAGTTGATCCTTTAAACTGAAGTCAAAGGATTAGTTAAAAATATTTTGTTAAAAATCAGATTTACATTCAATCAAATATTCAAGTACCTACTGATTTTATTTGTAAAATTATTTGAATTTCATAGCCTTGTCCAGTTTCTATTTAAAATACAAAAGCACATTGTGTACAACAGTGCAAAATTTTTGGAATTTTTCACACATGAATTCATTGATTCTATTCTAAATTAGAACTAAATTTTGTATAAAAGCCAAATATGTGAACGCATTGCTGTATAAATCTCAATGATTTTGTTGTTGGGATGAACGAATGTGTTGAAATTTTAGAGTTGTTTTAACGGAAGACCATTTATTGCTTCCGGTATAAAACACTTGGAATTACAAGTGAATTACACGTGGTTTAAGAATTATTGGAACTTTTCCATAATAGTAGTAGTAGTCTCCTTCATCTTATTTACTAACTTTACAATTGAATTAATTTGCTTTGCAATATTTAATAATTTTAAAATTGAATGGCTGCTCTCTTTCTATGTTTTATTTATTCAATGCAATTGATGGAAATTTACCAATGAATTGCATTTGACAATCACAATTTATGTCATATTTATATTTTCATATTCCACTCACTCTCACTCTCTGTTTTCGATTCTATCCCAACTCCTCATCCATATTTACTCACATATTGAATGAACTATTTATAAATTCGAAAACAATATTGAAATTTCATATTTTCAATAAATATTTAAATTTAATATTGAAAAGAGAAAAAAAAAATTAGCTAGCTTGCTCATTTTTTTCCAATATTTTTTATTATAATTTTTTTTTTTTATAATTGAAAAATATGACATAGATTTTTTTTTTGTTTACATGAGTACAAACATATGCAATGAGATGTAAGAATAAAAATATAAAGGACATTATAAGGGTGCCATTGTTTGTGAGTTCCACGAATTGTTCATTTTTTATTGGAGCAATTTATAGAGGAAAAAAAGAGAATATGAAAATATAAAAATAATTTTTTTTTTCTTAGACTTTTATAATAAAAAATTGAGAAATTCAATTTAAATAATAATAAAATAGATAATAGAGAATAAAGCTAAAATACTCTACCATTTAAACTTTTGGTTGTAATTCTAACCCCATTAAAATATTTTACATGAAATATTTATTTTTGAATTCGAAATTCCTCGGAAATCTGACAGCTTTGAATTTAAAGCAAAATAAAATAAAAATAGGAAATTTGAGTATAGTCGAGGAATTCAGACAGTAAAAATCACAGATTTCGTTTTCTCCTAAATTCTGTCCGAAATTTTCCATAATTACGTATCCGCAAAATAGTAATTTTTCGATATGACTATTCGGAAATTTCGGAGAAAAGAATTGAGTCATTATATAGCACTTTTTTCCTTTTTAATTCAGGAGCTCTCCCATCAACTCTCAACAGGATAATAAAATTGATAGTTTGCATTAGTTTTTCATTATTATATATAAAATTAGCAAAAATTGAGGTTACCAAATTTCGGCAAAATCCTACGGAATTACGTTCATAAACCAAAATTTCATTTAAGTCGTAATTGTTAAAAGAAAATAATGTATGAGTCATTTAGTACACAAGTTTTCTATAAGGTAAACTTATAGGGTATACTTTCAAATATTTTGCTTGTTGCTTCATTTCTTAGATATGAATGTCTTCTATACCATAATACAAAATTTTTAATAGAATATTGGCAATTTAAATTATTTTCATATACTTAAATTGAACACGATATTTATTTTTCTTACTCCTTATAGAATAACTATTTTCTATATATTATTAAAAAACATAATAGCTATATGTGTGGGATTTTTAATTTAATCCAGAAAATCTGAAATTGAAAAAACCTGTAGCATTTAAATTGTGCATAAAATTAAAAAATTTATTAAACATGCTATTGTTTTAAATTTAAATTCAATTATGTGAATATTGCATGTCTTATCAGTTTTTTCATTCTTATTATGGTTAAAATTTTATTTAAAATAATTAAGTAATTGTATAAAAGGATAATTGTGTAATGAAGATTATTGTAGAAAATTTTTATAAACTTTGTCCAATAAATTTTAATTTACTTTTAATTGGAATTAAGGCTATCTGGCTTAGTGTTAAGAAAAATTTTTTATTATGCAAATAGATTTTAAATATTAAATTTAAAAAAAATTATTAAATAAAATTTTCGAATGATTTTTAAATATTTGAATTTGAATAGCTATTAATTAGCTAGTCAAAAAAAAGAAAATGTGAAATTTGAATTGGTTAAATTTGAAAAAATTGCATACTTTTCGGGGGAAAATTTTATTCGTTTCATTTCAGTTGTTAAAATTTGTTGTTAAAAGTTTTTTTAATTAATTTTGTTTGTTAGTTTTAGTATTGCTGTTTTTTTGGTTATTGCAGCTGCATTTTAACTTATAAGCAATGTAAAACTCGTACTAATTAATATTTAATAAAATTTGCATACTTTTAGGTGAATTTTTTTTTTAACAGTCGCATATTTGATCCGTTTATTAAAGTCAGTCCGATTTTATTGGTATTATAGTAAATACGAATTTAATTTCTTTTAATATCACGAAAATAATTCGGGACATTAATAATTTCGTAGATTTTCGAGTATTTATATATTTTCTTGATTTTATTCTAATCAATATCTTCTGAACAACTAACTGAATGTGAGTTTTTCACCGTTCTCTCTTTGAATTTCCAAATTATCAATTAGAATTTCAATTGGGAATAACTGTTTTTGATTTCTATAGCTTCTTCTTCATTTTTATTTCATATTTCAAAACCATATTCATTAATCTTCTCAACTAACAATGAATATATTAAGCAGTTGAATGAATATTATTCCAATTTATATTTAAAATTCAATTAAATTTACATTTCTAAAATTCTAATTAAATTTCCTATACCAGCAATTATTTTCAATATTATTTTCATAATATGCCAAAAAAAAAATAATATCATAAAAGGTGTGATAAATTTTATTACTCTTGTCCTTTTTCTTTTCTATTAATTTTTTGATATAGCACTTCTCTCTACAATATGTTCCTTAAAAAATAAAAAAATTATAATAAAAGGAATCCTTAAGAGGAAAAATGTGAAACCGAAAATCAAATTTAACTTTGTCGATTTCCTTTAAAAATCAAAAAAAAACCAAACCAAATAGACCTCAATTTATATTTAAAAAAAATACAAATTTCTTTTACAAATATGAAGAATAAAATTCAAGGACAGTTTCATTTCTATGTATAGGTTTTAATTAAATAGAAAATTTTTGTTTTGCATTTAGAAAACTTTAATATTATGTTTTTGACAAAAATTTTTTCCAAAAAATTTTCATTGTAATATTATAAAAGTTAATGTTTAAGAAAATTTGAAATTCCTAACATTAACAAAAAAATATTTAAGAAAACTTTAAAATTCAAAATTTTCTTGGGACCAAAATTCTCTATATTATAAGTAAAAATTAGATGTTCTTGGAAAAAATATAAAATTCATAAGAATAAAAAATTATAAAGTCGCATTTTTATAAATTCAACACAAAATTTTTTCTAAAAATCTTTAAAGTTCAATTGCATTTTAGGAAAAGTTTAAATAAATTGCACGTGTGTTTATTGAAATACTCGTGCACATACCCACGAACGAGTATCTCAATCCGAATAGAGTCTTCAATTTACGAAAAGTAAAAAATTTTTAAAATTAATTGCATAGTGTTTTGTGAATTCAATATTCTACTTAAATGGCGTATATGGTTCTTATAAGGTTACAAATAAAAAATGTAATCATAAATTAAAAATCTCAGTAAAAAATTTTTTAAAATTTCTTCAAAATTATGTAAACCACATACATAAACATAGAACCACATAAAATTATGAATTTATTGCACATAAGAGTAAGTTACACTTGTACTAACTACATTTTCTCTCGCTTCCACACAAATTATAATTAAAAATTGTTTCTAACATTACAATATTGTACACTTACTGTGTTCTTGTAGCTTTGATGACATTAAATTGCATTATCAATAACAAATTATTATTTTTTGAATACTCTTACTGTTATACCTCTTTCTCTTCATTTCTCTTTTATTAATATTCAATAAATTTTTTTTT